GAAGCAGGTTCCTAAGGAAGCACAGCAGCTCTCATTGGAGTGGCAAGCAAGCAGCCAAAGCCCTGAGGGCAAGGTGAGGGGCAAGACAACAAAGTGAGAGACTGCAGGAACTAAGGCAACAGAGCAGAGCGAATAAGAGCAAGGACTCTGTTCAAGATCTACGTTCAGTGCCTAACTCCAACTCTTACTAGCTGTGTGACCTTGGGCAAGTTACCTAACCTCTCTGTGCCTCACTTTCATCTATAAAATGAGGAGAATAATGATATCTGCATCACAGGGTTATTAGGATGATCAAGTGGGTTAATATAAGCAAAGCCCCTAAACAGAGCCTGGCACAGGGAAGTGTTCTTGCAGTGCTGGCTGCTGTCATTAAGCACACACAGCTTCCGCAGGGCAGCAGAGTGGCTACTGGGCAGGCCCTAGGGGAGCGGGCTCTACTGCTTGGGCACACTCCCTTTTTTACTGTGTGCTAGCTATGTGGCCTGGAACAATTGATTGAACCTTTCTCTACCTAAACTTTCTCATCTATGAAAAGTGGAGGTGATGATAATAGTACCTCCCTCAGAGGGCTGTTGTTGGGACTAACTGTGCCAAGGCATGTGGAGTGTTTAGCAAAGTGTCTGGCTCATATTAAGTACTCAGTAAATGTCAGCTATTACTATTCCCCGGCTAGAAGGAACCCTGATGACAATATGGCCCTATTTTTTAAAGAGACATTGAAGCTAACAGATGTTCTTTTCCCCCTTAAGTTTCTAGAGCCTTTATTTCTGAATTTTAGAAGGGAAGATAGGATTCTTTATGTCTCCCTTAAATAAACACATTTCGGTACCTTTTTTTTTTTTGAAACGAAATCTCGCTCTGTCTCCCAGGGTGGAGTGCAGTGGCATGATCTTAGCTCACTGCAACCTCCATCTCCCAAGTTCAAGCGATTCTTCTGCCTCAGTCTCCCGAGTAGCTGGGATTCCAGACATGCACCACGACGCCTGGACAATTTTTGTATTTTTAGGTGAGACGAGGTTTCACCATGTTGGCCAGGCTGGTCTCAAAATCCTGACCTCAGGTGATCCGCCTACCTGGGCTTCTCAAAGTGCTGGGAATACAGGCATGAGCCACCACGTATGGTCAACATTTCAGTACCTTTTTGACCCTTTCCTCAAATCCCTTCCTTCCCCCCATACAAGAATGGGAAAGGACTCCAGGAGCATTGTAGCCCACACCCCAACCTCTAGGCAGGCCTACACTCACCCCAGCATTTCTAACAGAGAAAGAGGAGGCATTTTCCCAGTATGAGAGACCAGGATCATGATGCTTCAATATTTCCTACCATCATTTTGGTGATCAGCTCAAGACAGGGTTGCCTGCCTTATACGGTAAGTTGTTTTTGGCATTTTAGGGGAAAATTCTAAAAGCAGTCCTCTAAAGGGTAACAGTTCTCAGGCTTGGGGCAAGGTCTTTCTTTTCTATTCTTCTACACTGTTTCCCTCTAGACACATTGCAAATTGAGTTTAAAGAACAAGGGTCTGATTATCATGCTGTGATTGAGTTTTGCTACTGCCAGAGGACAAAGGCTAGATTGACATTAGATGAATGTTCCAGAGGACTGGTCTCTCTTTTTGTTTTCTTTTCCAATCCTGTTTCTCTCCTGGAGGAGAGGGAATGATAATGAGAACACACGCTTGTTCGACAAAACCTCCCATGTAAGCAATGTTCCTAGGAGGGAAGACTCAATGTAATAGACAAAGAACTTCTAAACCCTTAACTCTTATAAAGGCAAAGATAACAAGAGAAGAAGAGGAGCCGGGGAGGTAAATCATAAAGAGAAGCAAAGAGAAGAAGGAAGAAGAGTGGAGAGAAGATATCAGTAAATATTTAACAATGAGGAACCCACCCTGGGCCCAGGAGCTGGCTCAGGTCATCACAGGTTGTACTCTGACTTTTAATGCTTCGGCCAAAATGGCTGTGCCAAGAGTTGTACCCCTTGTCCAGCACAAAGCTCCAAATTCCCAGAATCAGAGACTCTGAGAGATGCAACAATCCTCAGAGTTCTTCTATCCTGGAAAATGCGTTAGTCCCTCTACCCTATCCCTAAATCTTTCTGCATAAATGCTTCCTGTGATGGGAGACTCATGGCCAGATACAGTCTTCCTTTGTTGGACCACTCCAGACATCCCAGAGTCCTTCCTAACCCTATTCGGAGCTAAAATCTGCCTGCTTTCACTTTGACCAGCTCTGTCTTTTACCACTCTACGTTGAAATGATGTTTCCTGGTGGTCGCTGAAGAGAGGCACATGGTAGGTCTCCCATATATGGGCTCTGGAATGTGACCACCTTGTTTCCTATCCAAGTTCAGCAACTGACTTTCAAGCACTGTGACCACTAGCAAACTACTTAATCTCTCTCAGCCTTAGTTTCTCAACTATATATTATAGAATGGAGATATTAATAGTCTGACCCGACCACTTTGGTACTATTATTATGAGAATTAAATGAGATAATCTGTGAAGAATTGTATATAACATGAACAAGTCATATATAAAGTGCTGAGTAAACTTCAGATACTGAAGATACACAGTAGACTGTGGGCTCCTCCAAGGCAAAGACTGGATCTTATTCATCTCTGCAACTTTTTTGCCTGGCACGAGGTCTGGCTGAATATTTGGTACCAGATAAATGTTTACTGGGATGACTAAATAATCTAAATAATTAATTGGCAATTACTCTATTCTGGTGTAAATCCCTACACATGATCACGTGTTCAAGACAAGCTTTTTTGAAGAAAATCTATCACCCAATCCTCCCCTGCCCTAACTGAGCCACTATTTGTTACTACTCAACCCAGAACTATCCCACTTCTCTTTCCAAGGTGGAATGGAGAGACTTGGCTTGAGGCAAAGGTCACAAGAGCCAAACTCCAGGCATCAGGTCCAACCCTGTGAGGAAGCTGCTGTGAAGCATGCTGCACTGTTTTCCTGTAGCCAAAGTTATAAAGTGTGATTTATGTGTTACGGTTTAGATGGTGAGGATATGTGGCTCTGTGGGCTGTAAGCCTTCCGGAGGGCTGGGGCCTGAGAGACTTAAGGGAAGAGGAGTAAGAAAGCCCCTTTGGAAAAATGAGTTTAGAGAGCAGGATGTCATGGGATGGGATAGGGGAGGAGTGGGAGTGGGGGTAGACAAAGTTGGGGAGGAGGAGGATCTGGGAGCTTACCTGAGCCCTTCATCTAGCTAGGGAGATAGAGCTCTCAGGAACGTCAGCAATAAGCTCAGAGCACAACTGTAATAGTGTAAAATCTCCAGCCACCAAACAGAAACGGTACCACCTGGAGAAAGAAAAAGGGCACTGAGGGAAAACTGGAGTCAGAAGCAAAATGTTCTACCAGGAAACTAGATCTCAAGGAACCGCTAGTTACATGTTTAGAGCACTTTCCATCCATCAACTCATGCCCATTTCAGTCTTTCCAAGTCAACAGCTCCAGCGTGCCTGGTCAGTGCTGAGCCCAGGACTCAACACCTGTGCTGCAGGTTGCTTAGGTGCACGCCAACATTTCAAAGACTATAAACGACAGACCAAGTGACCAAGTGTCCACTCTGTTTAAGAGACACAAGTGGAGATAAGAAAGAAGGTAGGCAACCTTTGACTTAAATGTGGGGGTGGCCCCAGAGTTGGCCACCCTGGGACCCCCATTGCTAGGGGCTCTCTTTATCACTTAGCATCTTTCCTCCCCACCGATGGCATGCGGCGTGAATGGCAGGGCACTCCAGCAGGACGAGAACAGAGCTCCGTCACAGGCCCCAGCATCCCCGGGGAGAAGATAGAGCCGCCCGGCGGCCTTTACAGGAGGGGGTAAGGGGGCGGAGAGGGGAGAGGGTTGTTTGTTTATTTGTTTCCTGGAACACCCTGTTAAGAATCTCAGCAATTGCAGTTAGTGCCCTATCGTTTGGCAAGCAGAGCCGCTTCTCGTCGTTCCAGCTGCACGGGATCTAATTCGCAAATACACCATCTTGCATTCAATACTTAAATGGAAAACAAGCAGCCCGGGGAGGGAAGCAAAAAGTCTAACTCTGCATGCCCGTTTCGGAGGGATTTAGGTTTCCAGGTCGGTGGACTGGCTGCTGCTGTCCCCGGAGAGGATTTCTTAGAGCCCGAACCCTGTCTCACCTCGACTACAGAACCCACTCTGGCGGAGGTTACGAGCCGCAATTAAAGAGAAAACGGGATTTGGTTGGGCCTTAGGCCTTGCCAGTACAAAATAGTAACTAAAATCTGTTTGGGAGCTGAGATTTTAAAAGGAGATGCTGCTTATTCTTCCCACTGGAAACCTGGTTAAAAGAAATTAAGGCCTCTCTTAAAGGTAACTAAGATTAGAGGGCTCCGTTTCCGTTTTCTGTGTTTCTGTGGGCTAAACGCCCAGGTCGGTCAGCGAGTTTCTCTGTGTGGAATGACGAATTCCTCTCCCCTGAATTCTAAAATGATAACTTTGCTTGGTGCTGCAGCTGCGAACGTCTGGCGCCAAGCGACCCAATTCTGGTCGGGGCTTTGCTGGATGGAGAAGTGGGGGTGAGTGGGTAAGGGGGAAGAGTCGTGCCTCGGTGAAAAGTCGGCAGAGCGGCGAGAAGGGAAGTAACGGCGGCTCCTCCCGGCCTCGGCCCCTTTAAGTGCTTCACTGACTCAGCTAAGCTTCCCCCTCAGGTCGCGTTTTTTATGAATGAAAAACGTCCTTACATTCATTATATAAACAAGCCTGTGCTGATTGGCCAATGGCCCCCGGTGCATAAATTATGTAAAACAGACCCCTGAGGGGGTGGAGAGAGATGCATCGTTGGCCAATGGGGGCCGGAGTTAATGGGGCGGCTTGGTTGGATTTGCCCGCAGACAGGGTAAACAAGAGGTGATGGACAGCCGCGGGAACGGCCTCGGGCCAATGGGAACAAGGCTGGGCTAGGGCCGCGGGCCAATGGCGGCGGGCGGAGCAGCGGGCCGCGGGGGGCCGGGCCAGCGCTCCAGCCTGGTTGGCAGCTGCGGCGCAGAGTCCAGCCGCTGGTGCGCGGAGCGGTTCACCGTCTTCGGAGCGGTTCGGCCCAGCCTTTTGCCCAGGCGCCCAGGCCCGGTGCGCGCGTGCGTGAGCGCGCCTGCGCCGCCGGGGCCGCTGCGAGGGGAGGAGAGCGGCCGCCTCAGGTGAGGGGGCTTTGCGGGGGCAGGAGGGAGATCGGAAGGGGCGTCCGGCCACGGGTCCGACAGGCCCAGCTGGCTAGAGTTCACGGGTTGATTCAGAATCTTCAAAGTCGGGGTGCAGTACCTGGGGTGACCCCCCCCGGGTTGACCGCCCCCTCCCCCCGCGGCTCGGTCCAGTTTGGTTCCTGGGAGGCGCCCGGCGGGTGCGGCTAACGGTTCCGGAGCGCGGGGAGAGCGGCTTTCAACACGCCGTGGGGGAGGCGCGCGGGAGCGCGAGTGCGGGGGCTCCCGAGTGGATGGGGGATCGCGGAGTTGCGAGGCTTTCACAGTCTCTGGAGATTCGAGAGCCCCGAGGGGACTTGGAGGCTCGCGAGAAGAGACGCTTGGCGGAGCTCCGCAGTTGGGAGGAGGGGGCGGGAAGCAGTTTGAGGGGAATGTCTGAGAGGCGCTGCCCCCCAGAGCACCGGGAGGGGGTAAATGACACAGGCAAGTGCAGCCTGCGGGGGCGGGGGTCGATCAGGAACTTACGCAGGCCTTGCAAGTTTCAGGTAGTGGAAAGTGGACACGCAGTCGCCCTGCTCCCACCTAGCAGGCTGAGGGCGTCGGGCTGTGCTGCGACTCGAGAAAAATCGGGGCGCACCGGAACAGCGGCCTGGGGATGGTGGGGATAACACGGGTGTGGAGGGGGCAGCACCGAAAGATGCTGGAGCCTCGCGGTGGATTAGGGTTCTGGCCGCATTTTCAGAAGGTGGAGAAAACTCGGGGCGGGGAACTGAACTCCTGGTCGAGGAGGGGGTGCCAAGGAGAGATGTTGGGGGTGGGAGGGATTGGAAGCGGTTGGTAGCGCCGGCCGCAGCACCTCGTTTTTATGAATGTGGGTGACTTTATGAATGAAGCGGGTTTCTTTCGTTGGCTCGCTGCTCCCTGCGGCTTTTTTTTTTTTTTTTTCTTCCCTTTTTGTGAATGAAGCATTGAGCTTTCTTCCTAAAACGCTGGGGTGAGGGGCCTGCGTCGGAGGCTGGGCGTGCGTTGGAAGTGGGGGCGGGGGCGCAGCTGAAGGAGTTTTCATGAATGGGGAAGGCTGGGAATTGGGTGGAAGTGTGTCTTATTTTGTGAATGGGGCCCAGCGCGAGAGATCCAGTTACAGCCTCTACCTGATGTGGCGGCCGCAGCTCGCTCTCCCATTCATAAAACCGGGCCCGCTGCGCGCCACAGGGGAGGGGCCTGGATCGCGCCGCTGCGCTGTGCTAAAGTTTTCCTGGGGGCACCCCGGGCGCGGGTGGTGGGGGGGGGCAAAGGAAGTGGTTTAAACTCCTGGATGAACTCGAGCCTTTCCTTCAGGCTTTTTAAAAAATTATACTTGGAATAAAATTTTTCTAACCTTGGAATGTCTCTTTTCGGTTCGTTTATGGCAGTTTAGTTCTTTTAATTTTTTTCGAATTTTTTTTGCTCTTCCGGGTGAAGTATTTCATCATGAGACTGAAAAATATCTCCCCCTCCCGTCTTCTACTGGTTGTCCCCTTCCCCCTAACAAACATTCACAAAATGTCTAAGGCCACGATTTAATCTGACAGATTTTCATAAGCGACAGAGCACACTCTTTCATGCCCCCTCAACTCACTGCTGAGGTTTCTCAAATTTTGTATACGGTTTGGTGGCATTTGAGAGAGGTATTATTCTGAACGTTTCTTGGGCTGTTTGGACGGGGCACGCAGGCAGGCTGGCGCGAGTGTTTTTCTAGGAAGTTACGAACTGTGTGCTATTTTGCTCCTCTCTTTCCTTTGACTTTGAAAATAATCTGATTCCTTGGGCCAAAGTGCTGAGGAGGAGGCTGGCTGTGAAGGGTTTCCTTGTATCCTGCTCACTTATGAAAAATTTGATATGCTACACATAGTGTGAAAAACAAATTGGATGGAATTGCTTACGGGGGGAAAGTTTCCTGTTTAAAATTTGTGTATATGTTAAACAAAAGAAATTAGCCTTTAAGCATTTTGAATTGCTTAGAGCTGGAGTGAGTGAAATTAATGTTTTTCCACCTTTTGTTGACTTAGCGATGTTTTTATTTGGAGAATAAAAGTGTTTAGGAAGATGGTACCTTCCTAAAATTGTTACTTTATTCCACTCACGTTAGAAGTTTTCTCCCTTCTAACCCCACCCCACCCCTTTTTCCCCAGACTTAGCACTTAACCAGTCCTGAAATGAGTTTCATTTGGGGGTGGGGTGGGGGGTATGTCTAGAAAAAATGACTCCACTGTAAGAAACAGCCTAAGTTTTAAAAGACCTTTGGTAGAGATGCATTGTACCACAAGCAATGGAATTAGTTTTTTAATCCATTACTTTTCATAGGCATTTTATTCTTTTAGAAGTTGGAGATGTCACAAATATCTCTGTAAGTAACCAGGGAGATATTTGTGACATTACAGATGGCTATATCTGTTTAGACCTCTTTTAAATAAAGAGTTGTGTGTGAAGATAAATATACCTCTGATCAATTTATTCTAGGAACTATATATAGTGTTTTAACACTGACCTACAAAATGCTTTTAGAAACACCATGTATGTCAGGTGTTTAATTGCCAATAATTTGGAATACTTAAACTCAATTTCTCTGCTTCCTGACACTGTACTGTTAAAAATTAAATTATCTCTTTTTTAAAAACTCTACTACAAATGCCCTGGAGTATGTGAGAGAATCTTGAAATCACCGTTTTATAATGAAAATAAGGGCTTTTGGTTTGTTTTGTTTTGGTAGAGGACAGACAGTAGCAAATCTGTAATTTTAATGATTTAAAAACAAAGAAAAAATGATGACTGGGTAAATGGATTTGGCACGAAGTACATCATGTACCTCTGATACCATTAATCAAGCCCGTCTTTGGTCTGTAAAGCTTGCACCTTGAGTAAGTTTTAAGTACTTCGCAGAAGGGTAATAATTTTGCACAGGCCCTAAAAAAAAGGCAATCTAAAATTGTTTCCCCCCCTTAGTTTCTTTTCCCCCCTCTTAGTTAAAATCTCCCAAATTCATATTACAGGAGGATCCCTTTTCCCCCAGAAATTACTCAATGCTGAAACCTCTCAAAGTGGTATTAGAGACGCTGAAAGCACCATGGATGGGTTTTATGATCAGCAAGTCCCTTTTATGGTCCCAGGGGTAAGTTTATGTGGCTTTTGGTTTGTTTTGTCCTCCCTCTCCAATATGACTCTTCCCCCTGTTGGTTTAGTGAGTCGACCCCCTTTGGACCTCTTTACTACACTTGAGCCTTCACTTTCTGTTGGCCTCTTTCAGAAATCTCGATCTGAGGAATGTAGAGGGCGGCCTGTGATTGACAGAAAAAGGAAGTTTTTGGACACAGATCTGGCTCACGATTCTGAAGGTAGTAAAGCTTTCCCTGCCTATGTTGTGGCTTCCCTGCTCCCAGTGACAGTAGCATGTAGATTCTTCCCTGTCTTCTCCCTAGCAGAAGAAATATCCTCATTCTGGGGTCTTCTGTTTTCAATTTCAGAGCTGTTTCAGGATCTCAGTCAACTTCAAGAGGCTTGGTTAGCTGAAGGCAAGTTTCATGGATGTCCTATTTTCCATATAAAACATTTTACTGTGCTTTTTAATAAAACTTAAAGGTCTAAAATAAAAATCTATTTTCCAGCACAAGTTCCTGATGATGAACAGTTTGTCCCAGATTTTCAGTCTGATAACTGTAAGTACCTTTCTGGTGATGGCACATTTGTTCTGAAATTGTTTGGTCTTGGATCATCCATGTCTAGAATATGCTTTTTTCAGCTATGGCCAGATTTAGACAGTAGTATGCATTTAGTTTCTTCTAATAATTCAGAATTAACCCTGAAAACTTTTATTTCTTATTAAAATTATTTCTAAAGTGTTTCTACTGTATTGCAGGTAAGACTTACTGAACATAATTTTATCCTAAATTTCTTTTTCCTTAAGAATATTGTAAAGCTGACTGGGCGCAGTGGCTCATGCCTGTAATCCCAGGACTTTGGGAGGCCGAGGAGGGCGGATCACTTGAGGTCAGGAGTTCAAGACCAGCCTGGCCAACATGGGGAAACCCCATCTCTACTAAAAATACAAAAATTAGCCAGGCTTGGTGGCGGGCACCTATAATCCAAGCTACTCAGGAGGCTGAGGCAGGAGAATCACTTAAATCCAGAAGGCGGAGGTTGCAGTGAGCTGAGATCGCGTCACTGCACTCCAGCCTGGGCAACAGAGCAAGGCTCCATCTCAAAAAAAAAAAAAAAAAAAAAGAATATTGCAAAGTTTTAAGCTCAAAATTATAAATTAACTGACATAATATATATGGTGTTGGGCCAAGCATCTATTAATCACACATTGTTTTGTGGCTTTTTGGGGGTTTGTTTTATAAATTAAGTCCTTGATGTGAATCATGAACCTGATATTTCTCTTTTTCTTAAAGGTGCAGAAAATAGTTAATGGAAAACTCCAGTTAACTTTGGCTTCATCCAACAGTTGTCAATTTTGTCTCTACTCCATAGCTGACAAGGGGTGGTCACAGAGTGGCCTGATTTACTCTTACTTTTCATGTAGTTGCTGTGGCTTTTCTGTTCAGAGAAGAGAAACTTTTCCTTAAAATGGCCACTAAGCGCTCATTACTAGAGATAAAATGCAGTGGGAAGCTCAAAAGATGGTTTTCAGCACTGGCAGGGGCATGGTTACTTTGCACTGATCATTTGGGGCTGTCCTCAACAGGTTTGGGAGCTTTTATGGTCTAGGCGGAGTTATCAAGGACAAAGCTGGCTGATGAAATTTGAGCAGCACAGGGCTGCTCTAGAGAGCATTAGTCACTGGCGAATGAGCAGGTTTAAGAGAGGCCTGGAGAAAATGCTGCCTCTCTTGAGAGTTGCATCATAGAGAAATTCATGTCTCTTAGTCATAGTTTATAATAGCAAGCACCTGAGCCATGCAAGGACTCAATTTCTCATTTTGGACCAACAGATTCTTCCCAGCTTTGTTTTATCTCTGGGTAGGTGGGTGTATGTGTGTGAAAATGCCACTGGAGAGACAGTATCTTAGGTCTGTCTCTAAGTAAAAAGCTGGGTATTCCAAATCTTTTAAATGTAAGAACAGAGGTAGCAGCTAAACATTCCTTAATGATAGGCCTCATGTCCAAGGCACAATGCCATGAAACTGTAAAAGAGAATAAACTGTAACACACACATGCATGGTTACCTTAGCTTTGTCACAGCTTGCTGTGGATGTGTTCTATAGGAGAGTAAATGCATGTTAATTATTGCCCTTTGATTGCTTTCAAGTGATGGGGAAGCCTGCCACTGAAAGACTAAATAAAGATAACCCAAATTGTGTGTGTGTGTGTGTATGTGTGTTTGCAAGATGAAAGACAGGGTTTGTAATCCAACTTTGTTCTGTGTTGACAATTTGGCCCAGCCTTTCCAGTTCTTGCTCAAAGCAGCATAAACTGCAGTCTGTTTGGGAGGTGGCTTTCTTGGCAGAGGTTCTTTGAAATGCTTTTATGACACTTTTGTTTGTTTCTCTGTAACCCAAAAGAGTTAAAAGGGAGATGAGATGGCTGCATTCAGATTGATTGCATGTGCTGAAGCAAGGGTATGTTCTTTGTCAGCAAGCAGGATTTATATTTGGAGAGATTTTTATCTGTGGGAATAGGCTAAAGTGAAGAAATCAATAAATGTGTTTTGGCTCTTTAGAAATAATTTCTGCTCAGCAAATAGAATGTACTAAGTTCTTTAATTAAAATTCTGTACCTTAAATGGAGGTGATTTGGGAGATGTTTCTGCTTACCAAGTATGATTTTTTTTTTTTACTTTGCTTACTTTTTGTTTTAACTGCCTAAGGTTGAGCCTTTCTATCTTATAAGGATATAAAAGATGGTTGACTAGCCTAGAAAAGGTCTTCTAATGATTCTTTCCCTCTGACTTTATTTCTTGAGGTAGAGCTTCAAGAAGGGATAGATTCAAGTAGAATAACTTGCCTAAGAAGCAAGGCAAGAACACAAATGTGGGTGGTGCATATTTGAGCCATTCATTCTTGCTCTTATGTTTTCCTGTAGTTCAGACTGACAGCCAGAAGCATGAGGAGGAGCTGGCAGAGCCCACAGCCGGCTGCATGCACTTACTTTTCCATGAGCACTTTCCACAGCCTCGAGTTCAGGACCAGCTTCACTCTAGTCATTTTCTGGAAGAGCCCATGATTTTTTTCAGGGGAGGGAAAAAACTCATTCAAATTTAATGAAACCTTATGAGTTGGTTTGACTCACTTAACCAGTGAATATTAGCCAAACTTAGATTTGCCAGGGGAAAGCAAACTTTTTTTTTTTTTTTTTTTGAGAGAGAGTTTTGCTCTTGTCACCCAGGCTGGAGTACAATGGCGCAATCTCAGCTCACTCACTGGGATGTCCGCCTCCCGGGTTCGATCATTTCTTCTGCCTCAGCCTCCCAAGTAGCTAGGATTACAGGCACCTACCACCACACCTGGCTAATTTTTGTATTTTTAGTAGAGACGGGGTTTCACCATGATTTCCAGGCTGGTCTTGAACTCCTGACCTCCGGTGATCCGCCCACCTCAGCCTCCCAGAGTGCTGGAATTACAGGTGTGAGCCACTGTGCCCGGCCTGTAACAAATATTCTTACTGGTGGCCACTGGTAATAGACTTTCCTATTAATAGTGATTTGAAAATTTTCCATTGTATATGTATAAATTTATTGTATACATAAAAGAAAGAGAATAGAAATGTAGGTAATATTTTTATTTTGGAATGTCAGTTTTAAAGATTATGGCCTTTTTTTTTTCTCTAAACACTAAAAGTTCAACTTCTAAAGAGATTATATTTTGTAAGTTTCTCAGAATTGGGTTTCCTGCCCATAGGGATACATCCTTAAGTCTGATTTGAGTGAAAGAAACCATTGCTTTTATATCTTATAGAAATGCCCAGCTTACTTCTAGCTGTACAGATTTCACCTCTACCTCACACATAGAGATATCAGTAAAGCATGGAAACTCCTAAAGGTCAAATTCAAGGGATTAGAATAGAAATCTATAGATCATAGGGATTCTACCAGTGTACCTCATTATCCTTTGGTCCTAAGAAGTAACCCTGAAGATCTCAGATTGCTTGAGTTGGATGTCCCTTGTAGAGACAGTCTTGCCCAGCCCCCTCCTTTCACAGCTATTTCCAAATAGCTGGAGAGACTGACCAGTAGTGGGGGCAAACGGGAAGGGTTAGGTGACGTAAGAAAAAGATAAATATTCTTAAAGAAGCTCTCACAAAGCTGCAGAGCCAGGGAGTAGTGGCATGTTCAAGTGTATTCAGGGCTCTCCATTATTTCAGATATCTAGAGATGGCGTTCAGGAAAGCATCAGGTAGACCTCTGACTGTCCAATTCAGCAGTCACTTCTCTTCCTTCTATGATCCTGAGAAAGTTACTCAATACCTTGATGCTTTGAGTTTTTCTGTTTTAGGATTTGGAAGAGAGAGAACAATTATAAAAGAAAAAAATTATTAAAAAACTGACATTTAGGCTCACACCTGTAACCTCAGTGCTTTGGGAGGCCAAGTCGGGAGGATCACTTGAGCCTAGGAATTCAAGGTTACAGTTGCAGCAAGTAGTGATCACACCACTGTACCCCAGCCTAGGTACCAGAGCAAGACCCTATTTCTAAAAAACAAAAACAAAAAAAACTGCCATGTTTCCTAGAAGACACCTTTAGTGTGTATACAGATAAAACTGTGTACATATGTCCTACATATGAAGAAGTGTTTGTGCATGTGTGTATATCTACGTAAGTGTGTATGTAGCTAAATGTGTACCTTAACACATAGAGCTACTAAACCAGGGAATCTGGGTCAGTGCATAGATGTGTGTACATCTTTCCTACACATTTTCATAGAACTAACTATGCCTTGGATAAGATTGGAACTGAAGAATGTTTCAAAGTGGGGGTAAGGCGATGTGTTCCATTCATTTTTCTGAACTCTTTGGGTACTTAAAGAGTGTATTACTCGATTTTAGTATATATAAATAGCAGGTTTTTTAATAGACATTTCGGGTCTGATTTTTAATCTCATTTATTTCAGTTATGATATTGTAAATATATACCTGTTAGCATCTTGAATAAGATATTTTATGCTGAGTAGAGAGCATGATAAAAATCTTATTTCAAAATCATGGCCTCTATACCAAATATAGCCTAGAGAATTGTTTTAAGATCCAGATGACCCCATTTTCCCCTTGAAGTGTTCTTTTAAGATCTGTGTTTCAAAAAGAATGGAACAACTGGAGGAAGTACAAGTAATTTCCTAAGGACCAGCTAATTAACTGATAAAATCGACTTTTCATAAATACATTGCAATAGACGGCTGGGGAAATAGGATTAACTGTTAATGACAGCCCTTGAGCCTAAAACACATTGATCTTAATCCTGTTTCACGATGAGATTATTCAGCTGGATTTCTTTATTAATGTGTGAGGTTAGTATAGTAGAGGCAGTGCCTTTCCTTTGGACAGGGTACATCATTTTGGTCTTTGGTCCTAGGTGTGGTGTAGCAAAACACATTTTCCTGCTTGGGCCACCTCTATTCAAAAGGATCATCCTAAAGTCTTTTTGTTTGGCAAGGTAAGAAAGAAAACAGTGGGCTTTTAAAAAATAAGAGGTTTGAGGGAAAACAAGGCCATCGGTTTATACTTT